CAGACCTAGTTAGACAGCCAAAAACGCATTTTCGGGCAACGAAAATGCGTTTTTGGCTTTCCCCAGCCATTTTGGAAGCTCTGGGAAACACTTTAAGGTTTACGATGACTTAAACCCGAAACCCCAACCCGTCAAATTTGGGCTTCTACACGCACCCTTCGTAGGCTTTTGGTGGGTCCATCGGCTTCGTCCTTGAGAGAGAGAGAATGCAGTTTGGCTTCAGGTAATTAGGTGTCTGGCACATTCGGCCATGAGAATCTCTTGGCCGAATGTGCCAGACACCCGGTCGTCCTGCAGCAGCCTGTGGGCCATCCTCCAGGCAGGGCCGTTTTCCCTCCGTATGCTGCTCAGCTTGTGTTGTTATGTGCCAGCGCTCAGGCGATGTTCCTGGAGTACTACGCAAAGGCTGAAACGTAGCTGAATTGACGGAAGGGCATCAGCAGGAGTGCAGATGTTTGTGATCGCAAGGAGTAATTAAGTACTTTGACTGCTGCCAGCCTTCTTTGGCTCCAAGAGCGTGCACCGGTGGCCGCAGCAATCCGGAGCTCAGCATGGGCAAGATGCAGGTGGGAGCAATCCTGTCGAACCTTCTTCGCTTTGCACATGCCCTGGTGCAGGTCGCAACGACCGAGCAGCGCCTGACACGTGTGAAGAAGGAGCCCCGCATGAAGGCCATTCACCACTCAGTGCCACAGCAGTTCTTGCTCAGTCCTAACAAGTTGTGTTCTTGTCTTCAGGAGCCTGAAGCAAAGCCGGGGCTGAGGCCACCTCGTGGAGGAGGACGAAAGAAAGACTGGCCTGAGGCAGTCGAGCCTGCAGTGAAGGGCGAAGCAAAGGCTAGGCAGAGTTTGCGCCATCTCTCGATATTGCACGGCTTAGATGCTGGTTCGCCTTGCACATGGGCTTGTGCAGGTGACATCGATGAAGCAGCCCTGCAAGAAGGCCAGTGACTGAGCAGTGCAATATCGGTTCTTCGTTCGCCTTGCACATGGCCTTCTGCAGGTCACAATGATCAAGCAATGCTTGACTGATGTCAAGAAGGAGCCCTGCATGAAGGCCAGTGACTAAGCAGTGCAAGATCTTTTGTTACTGAATCACTAAAGAGTTGTCTTCTCCTCGCTGCAGGCCGTTGCTGTTCGTCTGAGAGGCAAGCAAGCGGACCAGAGCAAGGCGAACTTAGTTCTGTACGAGGCTCTCCGACGAGACTCTGCACTGTAATCTGGCAGGTGAAGAGCGGCACCAACAAGGGCAAGAAGTACAAGAGGCACGTTGAAGCTGACATCAAGAAGTTGTCAGAGATGGACAACTACCTCAGTGTGCCGTGCCTGGGCTGAATTAATTAGAGTTGTTCTGTCGTCATTCTCGCAGTTAAGGCACAGGGCCTGGAAGCGCCTGATCTACTCGATGATCCCGGGCGACTTCAAGGTCCAGACTGAAGCCCTCGAGATGCTCCAGGCTGTGGCTGAGGAGGTCATGCAGGAGCACCTTGTGTCCGCGGTGCCGAGATGCCTGAGAGGGCGTTGACAGTGTAGAGTCTAGCCCAGAATGTTGGAATCCGGATAAGGCCCACATCATGCTGGGGTTCTCTATACATTACTTGTAATTAACGATGGAGGCTAGATCGTTTCCAACTTGTGGGCTTCTGCAGACTCTGGGTTCGGGTGGCTGATTTTCGTCCATCCTTGGGTAAGATCGCAGACGTCGGTCTGTTGGGGCAGCTGGGGATTCGTGTATGCCTGAATCTGCCGGAATGAATCTGTGGCACCCGGGCACCGCGAGAGCAAAAGCAATACCATTCTGGCACGGTGCAGGCGTGCTGCCAATGACAAATGCACATGCTGGTAGTGAGCCAGGTTGTGCAGTCCGCTGTGGTGGCCAGGTGCCCAGCATTGTCTCTGTGTTCGAGTTCCCGATTGTATCCTTGGAGTGCTTGGCAGAACTCTGTGTTCAGCCATTTTGGATGAAGCTCTGGCTTTAAATGCCGGAGAAAGCTTTTGGCTGTAGGGGCACCATGGATGATGCAAGCATTCAGCCGGGAGAAGAAGTTTTGCTGGAGCCGGTGGGCGAGCAGACTGTGCATCACCTCGTACGTCTGCAGCTGCATTTCTCTGAAAGCCTCCGCAACATGATGGACAACATGGAGTCGCTTGTTCGGAGACTGAACTTCTTGACTGATGAAGTCAGGGACCTGAGGGAACAGGTGTCTAAGGCATCTGCAGGCCCGACCGCTGCCTCGCGTAAACGCCCCCGCAGTCGCAGTGTGTGACGGCTGCAGTTTTTTGGCTGTACGAAGCTCTGCAAAGGGCACTTCTCACGACTGAGACTAATTACCTTGCTTGCAAAATTTGCCAGGGAGCTGGGTTTTTGTGCAAACTTGCTCCATGCAGATTACCCAAGTCAAAACTTCCACTTGCAGGTCGTTGCTGTCCGTTGCCTGATTGTGCTTGAGGCCGTTTTTTGCATCGATGAAGGTTGCCGTTTGCAGCTGCCCACTTCTAAATCCTGACGATCGACAACCTTCCTCGCCTGAGGCCGCATTGTCCAAACCTGGCCCGCTCCGCATGCTGTTGAGACGCTCAGGTCGACTGGACATGTCCTTGGACAAGCTGAAAGACATGTACAGCTTGTAGGATGCCGGAACTGCTACAGTGAAGAAGGAAATCCAGTGTGGTCTTCCACGCCACTGTGAGGCTGAGACCGTCGTCTGAGGATGTGCTCACGGCGATCGTGACAGCTCCTGAAGCCTTGCTTGCAGTTGTCGATGATACATTGTTACAGGGAACACTTTAATGACTGAGGAAATGAGGTGACTGATTGGCTACACCTGGATATGCTCAACGTATGCCTGAAGAAATTGGAGCGAGCCCGTCTATTTGGTGCCGCGGCAGCTGGAGGCGTGCTCTTGCTTCGCGAAGAGTCAGCCAAGCAAGTCTCGGTGCCGAAGCGGGTTTTGGGCTCTGCGGCCTCGGGCAGGTGGATTCGTCCGGAGTGACGAGCAGTCCTTCGAGTCGGCACCACTGTCTGCCTGAGGCTGTCTTCCTGTAATAAGAGCAGCCATTTGCAATTGACTTGCCCGTCAGGTGTCTGATGATGCAAGCATTCAGCCGGGAGAAGAAGTTTTGCTGGAGCCGGTGGACGAGCAGACTGTGCATCACCTCGTACGTCTGCAGCTGCATTTGCCTGAAAGCCTCCGCAACATGATGGACAACATGGAGTCGCTTGTAGTTGTTTTGGGAGGATGTGGAGGTGGAGAACAGCTCTTCCCCACGTGTCTGAGAGGCATGCGAATTCTTTGTCACGATCCTTCGCAACGCACTCCGGACCTGATCAGGCCCTGAAAATCTGAGCAGGCCCTGAAATCAAGGAGCCGATTCCTCAGGCTCCAGCCTTAGACACGGGAGGAGATGGTCAGTTGCACTATCCACCAATTGACTTGCCCGTCAGGTGTCGGTCGGACCTCGCCCTCTGTCTGACTGAGGCTGTCTTCCTGTAATGAGAACAGCCATTTGCAATTGACTTGTTGCCCGTCAGGTGTGGGTCGGACTTCGGCCGCCCGAGGGGGGTGGTCTTCCACGCCTGTGTTTGGCCGAGGCTGTGTTCCTTTAAAAAGAACAGCCGCCTGCAATTGACTTGCCCGTCAGGTGTCGGTGGGACCTCGCCCTCTGTGGCTGAGGCTGTGTTCCTTTAAAAAGAACAGCAGCCCGCAATTGATTTGCCCGTCAGGTGTCGGTCGCAGCTTTGGCGACCCACGATGGTGGTCGTCCACGCATCTGTGTGGCCGAGGCGGTCTTCCTGGAGTAAGAACAGCCATTTGCAATCGATTTGCCCGTCAGGTGTCGGTCGGACTTCGGCCGCCCGGGGGCTGGTCTTCCACACCTCTGTTTGATTGAGGCTGTCTTCCTTTAGAAAGAACAGCCGCCTGCAATTGACTTGCCCGTCAGGTGTCGGTGGGTCTTCGCCCTCTGTGGCTGAGGCTGTGTTCCTTTAAAAAGAACAGCAGCCTGCAATCGATTTGCCCGTCAGGTGTCGGTCGCAGCTTTGGCGACCCAGGGGGGTGGTCGTCCACGCCTCTGTGTGGCCGAGGCGGTCTTCCTGTAATTCGAACAGCCGTCTGCCGTTGACTTACCCGTCAGGTGTCGGTCGGACTTCGGCCGCCCCAGGGGGGTGGTCTTCCACGCCTGTGTTTGGCTGAGGCTGTGTTCCTTTAATAAGAACAGCCGCCTGCAATTGATTTGCCCGGCAGGTGTCGGTCGGATCTCGGCCGATCGATGGGCGTGGTCATCCACACCTCTGTTTGGCTGAGGCTGTCTTCCTGTAATAAGAACAGCCGCCTGCAATTGATTTGCCCGGCAGGTGTCGGTCGGATCTCGGCCGATCGAGGGGCGTGGTCGTCCACGCCTGTGTTTGGCTGAGGCTGTGTTCTTTAATAAGAAAAGCCGCCTGCAATTGATTTGCCCGGCAGGTGTCGGTCGGATCTCGGCCGATCGAGGGGCGTGGTCGTCCACGCCGTAGACGACCACGGCCAAGAGGACAAACTCAGACGACCACAAGCCGTCCCGTCCGTCGTCGTGGTCGTGTTGTCCCTTGTACTCTTGAGCGTGGTCGTCCACGCCGTAGACGACCACGAAGGGGTCCTAGGCACTGACCCCAGCTCCTGACCAGGTCTTTGAGATTTTGCCGGCCAAATACGTTGGCCAAGGCCACACTGACAAGTTTGCTTGCTGCCTATCTCACTGTCTCTTCGTTGCCTGACCTTTCGTGGATCATGCACACAGAGATGATGGCTCGTGCTTCAGTTTTTTCTCAAGCAACCTCTAACTGGGGAGAGGTTTCCTGCATGTTCCTCGTACACCAAACGATCGGCCAGCGACCAGCTTTAATCATGGCGCTGCATTTCAAGCTTTTTCATTACAGGAAAGGATTAGATTGTGCATGTGTGCAACAGTGCCGGAGGCCGACATGACTAGGGACGTCAGCAAAGAACAATATTTGCCGGAGCCATGAAACGCCTTGCCGAGTCGGATGAGACGGCTGAGCTGTTGATGATTTCTCCACCGTCTTGGCTGAGCTGGCGGGCAGAGAGGACCTGGTCCCCTGCTTCGTCTGCAAGGAGATTCTGGGCAAGCAGATCCAGGTGGAAAGGGTCGGCCAGCTGCTTGAGCATCTTTCCGCCTTGGTGGGAACCTCCAACGGGAAAACCACCTGCATGGCCAATTTTCAATCTTCGTCGCCTGATGCAGTGAGACCGACCAAAGGGCACGTCCACATCTGTATGCTCAATTTTCTGAGTGAGCGAGGATATGGTGCCTTGTCCGGGAATTAACTTGTCGTGCTGCCGAGTGCATGATGCTTCTTAAGTACTGATGGCCATTATGACTTCGTTTCTGTGACCTCCCAGGTTTCGAGGTGACGGTGTCTGATTGTGTGCCCTTTGCTCAAGACATCCTGTCTGGACGTTGTTCTCAGATGCTGGAGATTGAAACCCTCGAGGGCAAGGATGACGATGCTTTGAAACCTCGCGATAAGATGTTTTTGGGCTATGGAGCCGGAGGTGCATTTGTGAACAGTTTGATGCTGGGCAGCCTCGGCCTCATCGCCTTGGTCTGCTTGACCTTCTCTGCGAAGACGAAAGAGTTGCCGGCATCCGTGACTGAGATCCTGTCGCAGGTGCCCGTTGTTTGCCCCACAAGAGGCCAGGGGCAGACACCGCAGGATCGCACTGTGAATGCACTGCACAAGACGTTGAAGGCGTCGCAGTACAACCGGCGCCTGAACCTTGTCATGATTGCTTCCACGCTACGAAGATCCTTGGAAGCCAGGCTTGCCAAGATCTCGCCTGACAAGGACACCGACTTGGCTTCGGACTCCATCATGCGTGAGATCAAGGCCATCATTAAGGCCTTCAACAACAAAGCCTCGTTCATGCCGAGGTCTCAGATCAAAGCGCGGAGTGAATGGGCCCTGCGACACGCCCTTTCCGACAAGCATATGCCTGAGGAGGCCGGGTGTCTCAAAACTATTACATCAAAGTCACACCGTCTGTGTGCCCAGGTTTGGCATCGGGTCCTGCAAGTCTCCCGTTCCGCTTACTGGAACGACCACCTCCTGGAGACTCGCGGCTTCTTCGTGGGTTTGAGTGCGTCCAGCCCTCAGACTTTGTTTCCTCAAATCTCCTCTCCTGATGTATGCTTTCTGTCTGACGATTGTGTGATGCCCTCTGCTCGTTTGGCAAATATCAGGCGTGACGTGGCACACGAAGAGATGGAACAATTGTACAAGGCCACGACTGAGACCGCCCTGTACATCCTGCAGAAAATTCAGTCGGGACGTGTGCCGGGCTGCGACTTGGACAAGCCCATCGCGAACAGCCTGATCTCCAGCTTCGTCGCCAGAGTTTGCATTGTCTTCAGCATTGCGAGGACAGTGCTGGATCCGATTTCCACTGACTTCGGAGAGAAGCTCTTGGAGAACTTCGAGGCCGGTCGCCTGAGTGCTCGCCTGGACGAAATGGCCGCCATGCCTGTCAGAGAGGACCGACTGAGGGGTTCCGTGAGTCAGTTTTCTTGCACCCAGTCGACTCTGTACTGCTGTCCTGCAAGGACTACAACCACAAGTCCGATGCTGCCACCGTCGTTGGCAAGTACATCCCCTTGGTTGATGAGATGCTGACAGGTAAGAAACAAGAGGAGATGGCTGAGGTTGAAGAAGCGAAAAAGGAGCAAGATGCCGCGGAACATGAAGCTGTGCAAGAGGCTGAGGAAAAGCTCTGCCTGGCGAACCTGAAGCATGATTGGGAAATCTACGAGGCATGTGCTTGCTTTCTTTTTTCAACTTGCCCACAATTACTCCGCCCAGTCAAAGACGAATGCTTTGCCGCCAGGCTTGGCACTGTACGTTTGCCGTGACCATGGATGACTGGAGAGATAGCCAGAAAAACTGGCAGAAGGACTCTTTCATGTTTCGCGAACTCGCAGACTTCTGCTTCATTGCTTTACATGTGCTGTGCTTCTTTAAGCCTGCAGGAACGCCACAACATATTGTGGAAGGAGGCCGGGCGGCGGCTAAACTCTCTGGCCACTGTGGACCACCTCAGCAAGGAATGCTATGCCACGAGGGTGCCCTCGCAGGTCCGAGGACTCTTCTCGAAAAAAATGGCCGATGCTGCCGTGCTTGTCGTGGCTGACCTACAAGGGCACGCACCGCATGCCGACCTGGAACGCACGCTGTGCGACACCATGGCAGGCCTGCCTGAAGCGGCGAAACTTCTGCTGTTCACGGATGTGCCGCTCTGCCGACACAAGACCGAGAAGGCTACAGACCTTTGCAGGCTCTGAAGTCGAGGAGCCGATGCCTGAGGCTCCAGCCTTGGACACGGGAGGAGATGGTCAGTCGCAGTATCCACGTGAAAATTGGTTTTGATTCGCCAGGTCGTCTTGGGAGGATGTGGACGCGGGGAAGAAGAGCTCTTCCCAACATGTTTGAGAGGCATGCGAGTTCTCTGTCACGATCCTTAATTAGCTACGCATACGGACCTTTGCAGGCTCTGAAATCGAGGAGCCGATGCCTGAGGCTCCAGCCTTGGATAAGGGAGGAGATGTTGAGTCGTACTGTCCAATTTTGTTTTGTTTCACCAGGTCGTCTTGGGAGGATGTGGTCAAGAACTCTTCCCGACATGCCTGAGAGGCACGGGATTCCTTTGTCACGGTCCTTCACACAATCCGGAGCTGACCAGGCCCTGAAGTCAAGGAGGATGAGCAGAGACAGGGGCACTGCGAAAGACTGCCAAGAAGACAAGAACAGAAGGCTCGCAGATGTAATTGAGGTTTTGTCCGTGACACCGATGTATGAGTGGTTGCTTTCTCGCAATCTCAACTCATGCTTTGCCCCTAATTATTCTGGTCGCCCGGTCCTGTTGAGAGGAGGTGGCAGAGGAGAAAGCCTGTCCCCAGGACGTGAGAGTTGCATGAGTTCAGATACTGCGAGAACTCCGCGGAAAGCTTCAGCTACGTCGGCCTCGCCTGACAAAGCTTCGCCGTCCGAGACCCCCAGTGCCAAGAAAACGGTGCAGTATGGGCTTGGCAGGTTCTGGAGTCCAAGCGACAAGGACCAACCGGTGCTTGAAGGGACGCTCTTTTCCGCAAAGAGGGACCGCAGGACGACTGAGCACCGAATACAGGACACGCTGCAGAAGCTTGTGACTGATGGATTTTGAAGGTGGACAGCGATGCCAGCCTGAGCATGGAACCTCTGGCCAAACGACTGAAAGCATCCATGACATCCGGCCGGCCACGCAAGAATCCGGAGGAGCTGCGAGGCACGGCAGGTGGCAAAAGCAGCAACCGAAGATATGCTGGGCAGACCTTGTTGCGACAGGAGATACCTGTTGCTGTCAAGGACAAAATGTGCCAGCAGATGTTGTCGCAGGTGGCTGGTTTTGCAACGATGCCTGGGTTCTTTCGGCACTTTGCGGCAGCTTTTGACATGTCCTTGGACAAGCTCAAAGAAATGTACAGCCTGAAGGATAAATGGGCTGCTACAGTGAAGAAGTTGAACCTCAGCACGAGTGCTTCTGTCGGCCACAAAGAAGCTGGCCTGAGCAAGGGCAAGCGCGGGCATGCAAAGCCGAGGCTGAGGCAACCTGGTGGAGGACGGAAAAAAGACTGGCCTGAGGCAGTGGATGCTTGCAAGACCTTTTTGGAGATGGAGCGTGCCCATGGGCACACGGTGCTAAAGCGCCACCTTCTTTGGCGGTTTTGTTGCAAAAGCAGGTCAGGTGGCTGAGTGGGTCGGGGCCAAGGACTTGTGTCCGAACTTGAAGACAACTATGTCTGAGATAGAGCAGCGAGTCTCAGCAGAGCTGACATGGCAGGCGCATGATGCTGACCTCCGTTTGCTTGCGTACGGCACAGAGGAGGAGTTGAAGCCGTTGTTCGCCAAGCCGTCTGAGTTCAAGGCCGTCAGGAAGCAGACATTCATAGGAGTGTCTGACCAAATCCCTGTCTGGGTGAAGAAGACTTCCTCCAAGGAGCTCTTCGCAGAGTTCGAGCATGCTGCTCGCCCTCAGTCTGAGGTGAGGAGTGCCACGAGGAACTTGCTGGCTGACTTTGAGGCGGTGTCTGAGGAGCCTGGCCGTTTGTCTCTGGTCGCCCAGCCGCAGCCGGCTGAGTTGTCTCGTACCGGCAAGCAGCACCCGACGACCCGCAAGGACCCGGATGGGGACAGGTACCGCCTGACGTATGAGGCCAGGCAAGGCATCCTGCACTACTTCGACGAGTCCAAAGACCCGGTTGGAGTTGTGCTGCCTGGGATGGTTATAGTGGCTGGTGTTCACGCTGAGCTTAGCAACATAGACGAGCGAGGCCTGTGGCGTTCCACCCGTACTTTCCAGTATGGTGGCCAAGTTGTCCAGCAGAAGGCCGGCATGAGTGCGGGGCGACTGCTTCGCCAGAAACGGCCTGAGCTGATGTCTGAGGTCGAAGTCTACTCCCAACCAGCGGCGATGGTCGACAGTGTCATCATGTGTTGGTGCATCGCCAGAGCGGCTGAGACCTATGCATCTTCGTACTGACGTACTGGATCCGAGACTGCCTGAAGAGTGCCTTTACGGAGGAGGCTTGGAAGGCACGCTTCGCGGCCCACCAGTTGCAAGGTGTGGTGGCCGTGAAGATGACTTCGCAACTTCAGGTGACTGACACTGATTTCAGTTCCCTTTTCAAGAAGGAGTGCCTGAAGTGCATGGACAACCTCCGCTACCATGGGCAGAAGCAGACTGAGGGCTCAACTGTCTGGAAACCGTCGTCTGAGGATATGCTCACGGCGATCGTGACAGCTCAGAGAGTCCCGTGTGAGAAGAACCAGCGAGACGGCTGGGTGCTGGCGTCTTGCCGGCGAAACGGGTTTCTTGCTTTGAGACCCACAAAAGATGGTTTCGTGCGAAGCGACGAGCAGTCGTGGGCGAGAGACCTTCCGCTTGACTCCAGCCGTATAAGCAGTGCTTGGCTGACCAACCGCCTGACTGGATTCTTGGCTGCTGTCAGTCCCCAAAATACCTGCCTGTAGAGTCCAAGCCGTTTTACCCTAGCCAGGCTGTTCAGTGGCATACTTTTTTACTTTCAGGTTTCTGGGTCCAGATTATAAAAGAAAGAAGCCTCAGTAAGTATATACTGTTTCCCAGTGGGTTACCGAACAGCTTAACTACTTATAACTAAGTGTACATGTACTTGAACGTTCACATTTGTGCTAAAGGGTAATCAGCCAAGGAAAGGACCACAAGCAATCCAACCGCCTGACTGGAGCAGGCTCGAGGGTGCGGCTGAGCTGGCAGACCTCATGGAGTGGGACTTCGTTGACAAGTCTGACAAGGAGAAGACGGACCTCGTCCTGCCGATTGACGACAAGGAGCTGGAGTCGCCTGAGTGGAGCCAGCTGGCCGGCTTCCAATTGTCTTTGGACCTGCGCCGCTCACGCTGGCTGAAGGCCAACAAGGAGTTGCAGTCTGAAAAAGCTCCTTGGCTGTCTGCTAGTCACTGTTAGTTCGTTGGCTAAGTGAAACTCTCATCCTTGTTCCATGAATTCAAAACCGTTCAGAAGTCAGTCAAGGCTCGCAAAGCCCAAGAAAGACGCGAGGAAAAGAAAAAATTGGCTGAGATGAGGAAGGAGCTGAGCCTGGAGGATAGGCAGCTCGTGCGAGATGCCCTGCACAAGACTTCGCGAAAGGAGGTGTTGAAAGCTATAGTTCCCCTTGCAGGCAAGGGCAACCAGGCCAAAAACAAGAAGAAGAAGAAGCTGTCGTTCGCCAAAAAGGCAGAAGCTGTCTGTGAAGAAAAGTGTTGAACCAGCAGGTTCGTCGTCTGAAGGTGGCTAAACAGCCATTGCCTGACGCTCCGGCGTCTGCGCCTGTGGCCTTGCCTGAGGAGGCTCCTACGTTTGCACTTGTGGCCTTGCCTGATGAGGCTCCTCCTTCAGGAGTCTTCCGAGTGGTGTCAGATGTGCTGGGAGCATCTTGCTACGGCCTGACGGGCACCTTGCAGAAGGCCACAGCGACTGATGGGCTGCTTTTGCCGCTCAAGAAGGGGAAGTCCCAGTGGGTGCCGAGGAGTGTTCTGCATCTGCTGTCTGCTGGCGAACACAAAAAAAATTGGAAGCGAAAGCAGTTCAGTGTCAGTCGGGAGAGGAAGCAAGACATGCTGCTCAACATGGGGTGCCTGAGGCTGGACATCGATGGACAAGAGGAGGTGGACAATGTGGAGATTGTGCAGCCTGACACCCTACCACGTGGCGGTTTGCGAGACCAAACCATGGCAATGGGTTGGGAAGCGATACGGTGGGCTTGGGCTGCGACGATTCTGTTGTGGATTGATGTGCACAGGCAGGCTCTGCGTTTTGCGACCAGCCTCACTTTGACATGTTTCTGTTTCAGGCGAAGCTCACGGCTGGTGAAGAACTTCGTGAGCTGGAGGCACAAGCCCTCAGGCTGGTGACTGAGGGAGGGCCAGTGGGACTGGCGGACTTGAACAAAGAGGCTTTGGATGATATCCACAAGGTCACGTTGAAAGAGTCAATGATTTGTTCGTCTTGCAGGTACAGGTCCGGTTGTCTGAGGTGCGTAGTGTGGAAGTGCCAGCGGTACCACCTCAAACGTGAAGCGCAAAGGTCAGGCAGACCGATGCCTGAAGTGTGGTGACAATCAGTTTGAACGTACGGTAAGCATAAATACAGCTTTCTGCATTGTTCAGGGCTCCCTTTGCTGACTGATTGTCACTTTTGTGCTGCCGACAGTTGCAAGAGCTCAGCCTGAGCCCGCGAACTTCGACCGGAAAGTAGTTATCGCAGTGACGATCAGTTTGAGCATATGGTAATTATCTAATTAAGCATACAGATTTCTGAATCGTTAATTGCTCCCTTTGGTGACTGAGTGTTAGTTGACCGCGGATTTGGACCGGAAAGTTTGCTTGAACGCCCTGACAATCAGTCTGAACATATGTAAGCATACAGCTTTCTGCAGTGTTCATTGCTCCTTTTGGTGACTGAGTGTCAGGAAAGTTTGCTTGAACGCCCTGACAATCAGTCTGAAGATATGTAAGCATACAGCTTTCTGGAGTGTTCATTGCTCCCTTTGGTGACTGAGTGTCAGGAAAGTTTGCTTGAACGCGCTGACAATCAGTCTGAACATATGCAAGCATACAGCTTTTTGCAGTGTTCATTGCTCCCTTTGGTGACTGAGTGTCAGTTGCTGCTGCTCCCGTAGAGCGGATGGGCCAGCGAGGCCTGTGAGACCGCAGACGGGGACTGAAAAGACGGAAGCCGTGAGTGTGTGCCCTTTGCATGAACATGTTTAGACAGTGAACACGTCGCTTTTGCATTTTTTTAGGCCTGAGGCGGAGGGCAGCTTTAATCTGGGGGGTTTTTTTCAAGGTTTGAGGCCACTATTCTGGGGGGTCGTCGTCGCCCTTCCAAACTCCTCTTGCCCCTGCCTTTTCTCAAATCCCGGACCCCCAAAGCGCGTCTTTAATCAGGGGGGGTTTACTAATCCTAAGTTGCCATTATTACACTGAATCAGGTTGGAATTATGCCGCTTACGACGAGAATACGTCTTACACATACTATGCACATGCCCCAAAAAGAAAAGCACGGAAAAAGAAGAGAAGAAACAACAAAGGATCAACAGGTAGAGGCACAGATCCGAGCGCGCACCATGATACCGTGTACAACTCCTCTGAGAGTTATCTGCCTTTGACACATGATGAGCGTCAGGGGCCAGGTGTGGAGACTGCAACAGCAGTGTTTCCGTTGCAGCACACCGTCCTATCTGCTCTTACAGAGCGGATCAATCTTGACCGAAGCCCAACCTTTGTCATTCTTGACTCAGGTTGTACAAGGGCCATGGGATCCCGCTATGCGGTGAACCGGCTTATCAAGGCCGTTAAGCAGCATGCTTCAGGCATGATTGATTTCACTTTCTCACCTTCGAACACGAAGTTCTCCTTTGCAGATAGTGAAACAGCTCTTATCAAGGAGCGCGTAACCCTATGGTTCAATACTACTCCCAGAAGGGATACTACCATAGAGGTGCTCGATCAAGGAAAAGTTCCCATCCTGTTCTCCATTGAACAGATGAGGTATCTCAGAATGACCCTTGAGTGCAGCCCAACCGCGGATCTTGCAACGTGTGAAGCCTTCGGTCTTTACACCTAAGGGTAATGATTTGTAGCTTCATGATATACTTGAAGAGGATCAGCATGGTCTCTTTCTCTGGGAACTTGATTGGGTCGGAAAACCTCTGGTTGAGGAAGGCACCCACAGTCGTCCCGTTGCCTTTGGCTTCTGTGACGAGCACCGATTTTCTCATCCGCGGTGCCACTACGCCCGCGGCATGGGTGACCAAGGTTTGCAAGCTGAAAGCGAGCGGGACAGGAAACGATTGCCACTCGGTTGTCAACGTTCGAGATTTCAGAAAATGCCAGTCATATTGGTTTCCACACTCTGGTTCCCAATGTTGGAGTTTCCTGTGCAGCTTGATCACGAGGTGCGCCTGATCTGTAGGATGATCGAAGTCCAGAGCAGCTTCAGGAATAGAATCCACCAGTTTCAGGGCATCTGCTTGGACTTCAAAGGCTTTGAGGACTTTGGCACTCTGCCTTTCAGACTGAAGAATCCTGAGCTCGCGCAGAAGCTTCAGAAAGTCGATGACCCACGGCTGTGGGATCTTCGCAAGCATGTATTTCCATTCACACTTGCACTGTTTGAATCCATGCCCGCCTCTCGCGCGGAATTGCAGGCGGACCTCACCGTGGCATGTGACATAGCTTTCTAGAGGTTTTTTGATCGGCAAGGGATAACTCCCACCCATTTGCAAGGATCCATCCAGCCCTTGTTCGTAAAACTCACCCGTGATGTTGCCGGCTCGCACATTGGCCCAAAACACCTGACCAAGCGGACTCGTATGCACAGGCGCTGTCATCCTGCGGCACTCTGCCTTGTCCAGCCAGATGCAGGCACTCAGCCTTCTCAGTCCAGCTCAAGACACTCTGCAATGAATGGCGAGGCGGCACTCTGCCTTACTTATTATGTCGAAATGATATACTACCTCTGACGTCAATGTGTTGTTAGATTATAGTTACTAATATTTGACACAATTTAAATTATATCAACTATATTTTGATATTGTGCTCACATTGACATTAAATATCATGCATATGCCATCATTCAAGGACCACGACTCACTTCACTTTGAGCAACTCCATCGACAGAATAATCATGACATGACACTTTTATTGAAGCAGCAGCTACACGGAGTTTAACTTAATTGAGGGGCCAGACAGACTCAGCATGATCGGGAGCTTAGCACACGAATGAAACCTAATTCAAGGGCTGTGTTGATATTGAAATCTGGCATATGCCATGATTCAAGGACCACTGCAGCAACATTTGAAATTTGAGCAACCATCATAAGCCATAGGCAAAACAATCATGACATGACACTTCAGAAGCCCGAGAATGCTAAGTTGAATTTGGCAACGCAGAAGCAGCATGATCGGAAGCTAAGAACAGCACCGATGACCAGCAATCCTGGGGTCTGGAGACGCCAGCTGACGGCCAAACCTTGCATGGTCACTTTCATTCATACTCAGACTCTCTCAGCACAGTCGCAAACCCAACACATCCAACAGAACTCAGAAGTGCTCGGTCTTCAGAAGTCTCAGCACTCACAGTTTTGCTTCTGCAGCAAGCAATGCTCTTCTGGAGGCACTACTCTGACAGCGACGAGGCCTTCTCCAAAACACTCACAACTTTGATCATGACTTGTTGGTTTGCCTGCACCACAAACAAATAACCTGTTGCTGTGCGAAAGGCAGGCAGAAGTCCACATGAGCAGACATCGGCACTGAAAAACTTGAGAAGAGTCAGTCGACGAAGCCTGACCCACCTGGCACTCTGCCTTCCTGGCACTCTGCCTTCGTCACTGTCCTGGCCTGAAAATTAAATTGATATTGGAATTTGGGCCAACCCACTCACTGAATGGTCCAATGGTGGGCACTCTGCCTTTGGCACTCTGCCTTTTAAGGCACTCTGCCCTTTTTTCTCACGGCAAGCTTTGGACGTTTATGAATTCGCCGTCTTCCATGGGAGCAGGCCTTTCTTCGAAGTCGTTGTAATCCTCCTCATCTTCCACACGCTCTTCATTCCAGGCCTCCGGATCATCTTCGTCGTAACCGAATCTCACCATGGTCGTGGTCCACAAGAGTTGCTGACCTTCTTCGACTTCCCCGTCCCACAGCGTCAAATTCCCAACCCCCCGCGCCCAGCCCTCATGACAGGCATAGAGGCATCTTCTGTCCATCATCACTTGCATGCCTGCACCAGTGAGTTCCAGCTTCAGGTAAGCTGGCGGTGCATGTTGATCGATCCTGAACTGAGATCATGTTGAAGTTGCTACTTGATTCTAGTCAGTATTAAGATCCGTAGATATAAGATAATAAACAAATGTAGCGTCGAAGCATTGCTTGAATCTGAGTGGCCATCTAATGCACTTTGGCCACCATTGGTAGCGTTCAAGGGCCAACTGGGCCGTGGGGCGCAAGGACCAGTGTGGATGGCCTTTGTGCTCCGAGGCACCGGGTTGCGCCCAAGAGCTGATGCCGTCCCCTTTAAAGAAGTCCCAGCGAATCTGCAGGGAGACATCCAGTCAAGCAGTAAGAAACAGTCACAATCAACACATGCTATGATTATCATCAAATACACTGCCCACTGCCTGCCAAACGTCCTCCACGCACATGAAGTATGTGTGAAGGATTTGGTTGGGGTCTTGCATCGGGGTTTTGCCCTTCTTTCCCTTGCCCTTGCCAAGATCGCCTTTGCTCGCACTGGCACTCTGCCCTGGCCCTGGCTTTCCTCCTCCCTTTCCGATCGGAGTTGCTCCCTTCCCGACCTGACTCTTGTTCTTTGGGATGAATGAGCGGCGTTGTTCAAGTTGGACAGCTGCCAATTTGAAAACTCTTGCAGCTGAGTGCGGTGGCGGCCTGCCCCTGTGTTTTCCATGGCGGATAATGACTTGCCCACTGCACAATTGGGACAAGGGCACTCTGCCTTACCTGAACCCAGACTGCTGCAACAGCACAAGTAGGCAAAAATGAGCACTCATTACAATCACCGGAGACTGACTGTTAAAGTCACGCTTGCACCCACTGAGTCGCCGGCTGGATTCACTCATCCAATCGCCCCAGCGGCCCTGATCACCATGTCGGCACAACCGACAAAGGAACTGACAGTTTCCACAACCGAGACGGGCATGATCTCACTTTCTTTTTAAGCTCAGTCAGTAACACCGGCAGCCAGGTTTAAACGCACGAATTAAGCTGTGACTGCCAGCTGAAAGTGGGAATGTAACTATTAGTCTTATCAAGGTAAGGACTGTGTTTCACTTCCAGCCAGCAGTCCAGTGTCGGGTCCAGGACTCTCTGGCTGGGCCAGTGTCGGGACA